CCTCTGTCATCCCACGGCCAGAGGCTGCGGGGGGCGCCGCGGCTCAGAGCTCGTCGTGGTGCCGTGTGAGGTCCTCGCCGTAGTTGGTGGCCTGGCTGCCCACAAACATGTTCCAGTTGCCCAGGATCTCGGCCTTACTCAGACGCCCGTCCTGAGGGAGGTCAGAGGTCAGCAGGGCAGCTCGGTCCCCGGCACGGGAGGCCCCCTCGGAACCGAAGTGTGGCCCTCCAGGTCCCTGTCCCCCTGTCTCTGGGTCCCTGTCCCCCTGTCTCTGGGTCCCTGTCCCCCTCTCTCTGGATCCCCGTCCCCCCCTCTCTGGGTCCCTGCCCCCCCTCTCTCTGGGTCCCTGCCCCCCTCTCTCTCTGGGTCCCTGCCCCCCTCTCTCTCTGGGTCCCTGCCCCTCTCTCTGGTCCTCCCTCCCTCAGTCCCTCCCTCCCTTTCTCCAGGCCCCGCTCCGGCCATGTGTGCACCAGGCGCCCCCTCCCCAGCCGGCCCGCGCCCCGTCAGCACCTTGTCCGTGTCACTCTCCTGCAGCAAGTGGTTGGCCTCCACCAGCGGCTGGTCCTGGGCGGGGGGCAGCACCCAGTGGCCCACCTCACTGCCGTCCAGCCGCCCGTCGTGGTTCAGGTCCCGGAAGTCCCGGAACTGCTCCCGCTCCGTCTGCACCCAGGCCGGCTCCTCTTCCCCGGCCTCCGCCGAGTACAGGTCCGCTGGGGTCGGGCGAGAGGCGGCCACTCAGGGACTCAGGGCCGAGCCCAGGTGGCCTCGGACCAGGAGACCCAAGCCCCCCCCACCCCCCTCTCTTTAGCCTCAGTTTAAATGGGGTTAATAACAACACCCGTTTACAAGTGATCATTATGCTACACGTGAAATGGACTTGGTCGACCAGTTAGTTTATTGACCAACTGAACGATCAACGGATCAGACTGAGATCCAGGTGACATGCTGGGTGCAAGGTGTGGCTCGGAGCCAAGCACACAGTAGGTGCTCTACCTGAAGGAAGGGCGAGTGAGCGAGTGTCTGGTGGGGTAACAGGGGCTGCTCCAAAGCTCACCTCGCCCTGAGCACCTCCCCAGAGGTTGTTGGAGCCTCTCTTTTATGTATTTTGAAGGATAGTTTATTGATTTTTTAGAGAGAGGGAAAGAAACATCCATTGACTGCCTCCTGCATGCCCCCACCGGGGATCAAGCCCGAAACCGGGCAGGTGCCCTGACCCGGAACGGAGCTGGCCGCCCTTTGGTGCCTGAAATGATGCCCAAATTGATATTTTAAGATATTAATTCATTGCTCTGGCCGGGTTGGCTCAGTGGATAGAGCGTCGGCCTGCGGACTGAAGGGTCCCGGGTTCGATTCCGGTCAAGGGCATGTAGCTTGGTTGTGGGATTGATCCCCAGCCCTGGTTGGGGCGCCTGGGGAAGGCAACCAATTGAGGGTTCTCTCTCACATCGATGTTTCTCTCTGTGTGTCATTCTCCGTCCCTTCCACTCTCTCTAAAAAAAAATCAATGGAAAAATATCCTCAAAGGATTAAAAAAATAATAATTTTTAAAAAGATAGCAATTTATTGTTACACTTTTGGGTGTAATAAGAGATCTTTTGTTTCAATTATTTGGAAATGTTTGCAAAACTCCTGGTGCCCGGGGCTGCCTTGGAGAAAGTTCTCCACAGAGGGAGTCCCCGGACATCACAGCCGACAGCCTTCGCACCCGCACCCGACAAAGCCCGATATTGGCCCCATGTCCCCTCCCCTGGGGCCGGGCCAGGGGCAGCCAGCACGGAGCTGCTTCCTTTTTTTCCTTAATGGTCCTAAGCCAGCCGTTCTCAACCTTCCTAAGGCTGCGACCCTTTAATACAGTTCCCCATGTTGTGGTGACCCCCAACCATAAAATTATGTTCGTTGCTACTTCATCACTGTAATGTTGCTACTGTTATGAATCGTCATGTAAATATCTGATCTGCAGGATGTCTTTTCATTGTGACAAATTGAACATAATAAAATCATAGTGATTAATCACAGAAACAAAATGTCATTATATATGTGTTTTCCGATGGTCTTAGGCGACCCCTGTGAAAGGGTCGTTCGACCCCCAAAGGGGTTGCGACCCACAGGTTGAGAACCGCTGTCCTAAGTGATCATTCCTTTTTTTTTTTTTTCTTAATTGATTTCAGAGAGGAAGGGAGAGGGAGAGGGAGAGATAGGAACATCAATGATGAGACTCATTGATCGGCTGCCTCCTGCACGCCCCCTTCTGGGGATGGAGCCGGGACCCGGGCATGTGCCCTGACAGGGAATCGAACTGTCACCCCCTGGTTCATGGGTCGATGCTCACCCACTGAGCCACACCGGCCGGGCCTACGTGACCATTCCCTATAGGAAATGGCAGTGGTAGGCGGGAGTTGTGTGTGTGTTCCCATTGTGGGGTAAAAAGCTGACAACATAAAACTCACCATTCCTGACATTCACAATGTCATGCAACCTCCATCCAGAACATTCTCATCCAGCACCCCAAAAGGACACCCCTTTCCCATTAAGCAGTAACTCCCAGGACCCCCTCCCTCCAGCCCCGACAACCCCTTAACCTACTTTCTTTTTCAATGGATTTTCCTGTTCTGGACACTTCGTATGAATGGAGTCGTACAATATTGTGGCCTTTCTCTTGGCACGATATTTTCAAATACCAGAACTTCATTCCTTTTTACGGCCAACAAATACCCGATTGCCTATCTCAGTGATGGCGAACCTTTTGAGCTCGGCGTGTCAGCATTTTGAAAAACCCTAACTTAACTCTGGTGCTGTGTCACATATGGAAATTTTTTGATATTTGCAACCATAGTAAAACAAAGACTTGTATTTTTGATATTTATTTGATATATTTAAATGCCATTTAACAAAGAAAAATCTACCAAAAAAATGAGTTCGCGTGTCACCTCTGACACGCGTGTCAGAGGTTCGCCATCACTGGCCTAGATCTACTCCCTTTGTCTGTCCCTTTATCCATTTGTGTTGACTACACGTGGTCCTATGTGGGGGGTGCTCCATTACCCCCACTTACAGATGAGGCTCAGAGAGGGTGGGGGACTTGTGTACGGTCACATGGCTGGGAGGCGGCAGGTGACCAGGCAGGTGGCTCTAGAACCTGTACCCTTAAGCACAGGGCACCCCCACCTCTCCTGACACCCCACTATCTGGGTCAGGACCCCCACTGCCCCCGCAGTCCGCCTCCTTCATGCCCTTCCCCACACCACTCAACAGGACGAAATTGCATTTCTTTGGGGGATCCTGGGGTTCTGCCCGTGTCTCGGCCCCCGGAGCCCACAGGGACCCTACGGTGTGGGTGTCAGGACAGAACCCTGGGTCTGCTTGTCTGGACTCCAGTCCTGTTCCACCCGACGAGCAGGCGGCCTCCATGAGGGATTTTCCCTCTGGGCCTCCGCTTCCTTATCTGTAAAGCGGGGTAATACCCGTCTCACAGGGTGGCCGTGGGGATTAAATAAATTTACAAGACGTTAACCACAGTCGCCGCAGACTGTGGCAGCTACTGTTATGATTCAACTGTGATGCTCGAGTTCTTTCTTGCAAAAAAAAAAAAAAATGTTTCTCTCTCCTCTCTCTCTCTAAAATCAATTGTAAAAATCTGTTTACATTATGCTTACATAAAAATGTCCTGCCCGCCTGCTGTTTGTTCCATAAAAACATTCTATAGAAAAATGTGTTCAACCTTTGAGCAATTCCGCCCTGGCCAGTGTGCTCAGTGGTTAGAGCACCGGCCCATGCAACCAAGGGTCGGGTTCCATCCCGGCCCCTCCCCAGCCCCACTGGGGCGTGTGCAGGAGGCAACCAATGGATGTGTCTCTCTGACATTGATGTTCTCTCCCTCTCTCTCTCTCTCCCCCTCCCTCCTTCCCAACCACTCTCTCTAAAAAAAATTAATGGAGTCTGGCCGGTGAGGCTCAGTGGTAGAGCTCCAAGCCAGGAACCAAGAGGTCTCCATTGATTCCCAGTCAGGTACATGCCCAGGTTGCGGGCTCGATCCCCAATAGGGGGCATGCAGAAGGCAGATTAAAAAAACAATTTTTTTTTTTAAATTTAAAAATCACTGAGTTTGGCTCAGTGGATAGAGTGTTGGCCTAGAGCAGTGGTCGGCAAACTCATTAGTCAACAGAGCCAAATATCAACAGTACAACGATTGACATTTCTTTTGAGAGCCACATTTTTTAAACTTAAACTATATAGGTAGGTACATTGTTATTAACTTCATTAGGGTGCTCCTAAGGCTTAGGAAGAGCCACACTCAAGGGGCCAAAGAGCCGCATGTGGCTCGAGACCCGCAGTTTACCGACCACTGGCCTAGAGTGTTGGCCTGTGGACTGCAGGGTCGTAGGTTCGACTCCCGTCAAGGGCACAGGCCCGGTGTTAGGTCTGATCAAGCAAGTGAATGGATGCCCCTCCCCCGGGACCTGGCTTTCCAGGCCATTTCACTGCGGACATTCCCTTTGCTGAGACCACATTTCACTTGTGGTGACCACATTCCATGATCTCCCCTCCGGGTCTGCACAGAGAAGTCTCCGCCCAGAAAAAGCCGCCAAAAGTCCTTTAAAAGCTGCCTAACCCCGGGTTGTGGGCTCAATCCCTAGTGGTGGTGGTTGGTGGAGGGCGGGGAAGGGAGACGTGCAGGAGGCAGCCAATCACTGGTTCTCTCTCATCATTGATGTTTCCATCTCTCTCTCCCTCTCCATTCCTCTCTGAAATCAATAAAAATCTATTTTAAAAATCAATGGAAAAATACCATCGGGTGAGGATCAACAACAACAGAAAAACTTAACAATTCCATACTCAATAGCTTTCCCCTTAACTAATTTATTTGCCCCCGGACAGAAAGGACAGAGGCAGGTCCTATCCCAAGCAAACGCAGCCGGAGCCCCGTTCCTGTAGAAACTCCGGACCCTCCCAGGAAGGCACCTACTGTGTGACAGTCTCTGCTGCATCCTCGGCCACTAACACTCAGTGTGTCCTGGTCCTGGCCCACAGTAGGTGCTTGGTAATGTGTTCCTTGGTCTGGCATACAGAGGGTATTCCATAAATGTTTCCCGGGCCTCGCCCATAGTAGGCATTTGATAAGGAGTTGCTGGGGGCGGGGACTGGCACATAGTAGGCGCTCAACAAATGTTTGGTGGCGGAATGAACCCAAGCAGTGCCCCTGCCTCTGTTCTCTTATGGGAGATCATGCATTGGGCTGCCCCCCGAGCTAGGAGGGGACAGCGTCCTCAGGGACAGACTCGGGTCCCACTCACCGATATACTCGTCCACTTGGATGTAGCCATCTTTGTTCTTGTCCAGGTCCTCCAGGGTTTCCTGGGGAGAAAGAGGCATTAGGGCTGGACCACTGGGGTCAGGATGTGAGGTTCTCTCAGGGGATCTCATTGGGGGTGGCTGGGGGGCCAGGCCTTGGAGCAGAGCAGTCTTGACAGGGCATTACTGTCCCCAAGGGCATGCGGAAAATTCGGGGGCTTTCTGGGGTGCCATGATAATGCAGGCCCCACCTGCACTTAGTGGGGGGGGGGGGGCCGGGACCCAGGTGTCCTGATGCACAGGTTGGTCCACACAAGAGCGATTTTGCATCCCTAACTTTCTCATGCCCCAGCCCACACTCTCCAAGGGCAGATGCCTCTTTCCCTTTAAAAGGAGGAGTCTAGCTCTGGCTGGTTTGGCTCAGTGGATAGAGCCTCGGCCTGCGGACTGAAGGGTCCCAGGTTCGATTCTGGTCAAGGGCACATGCCCCAGGGTTGCAGGCTCCATCCCCAGTGTGGGGCGTGCAGGAGGCAGCCAATCAATGATTCTCTCATCATTGATGTTTCTGTCTCTTTCTCCCTCTCCCTTCCTCTCGGAATAAATAAAAATATATTTAATAATAATAATAAAAAAAAGGCAGAGCCTAGACACCAACTCAGCCGGTGTACTCTTTGACACACTTTCCAAACCTCTGCTCTCAGCTTTTTTCCCTTCACTTCTTGAGCAAACAGCTTCCGTTCCTCATTTTTGCATTCACACTCACTCCCTGACACTCCAGCCTGTCTTCTAGCAAAGGCGAGCTCCAACATTTGAGGGTTGACAGATGAAACACAGGATTCTCAGTTACATTCGACTTTCCCGGGAACAACAAACCATTCTTCAGTATAAGTCTGTCCCGCACAATATTTGGGATCCGCTTGGAGGACAGGATGCTAAGTTACTTCAGTTTCAGATATATCTTTTTTTTTTTTTTTTTTTTGGTAAACGTGTGTCCCAATTAGTATGTGAGATATACGTATACCAATCCCAAATACTGTGTGGGCTATACTTACACTAAAAATGTTATTAAATTTTATTAATTTTGTTATAAATTCAAGTGTAATTGAGTGCCCTGTGTTATTTGCTAAATCTGACAACTCTAAAACACATGCTGAGGTTCTTGCTAGTTATTATAAGTGGCTTTCCTTTAGTTCCTCTTTTATAGTACAATTTGGGCCAATAGTCATGTTTTGAAATCGGCGCATGGGGAGGTTACGCTCACCGTCCACGGATGTGAGTGAGGACAGCAGAGTTTAGACTAGGGCTTGGCAAACTTTTTCCATAAAGGGCCAGATCCTATATACCAGTGGTCGGCAAACTCATTAGTCAACAGAGCCAAATATCAACAGTACAACGATTGAAATTTCTTTTGAGAGCCAAATTTTTTAAACTTAAACTATATAGGTAGGTACATTGTTATTAACTTAATTAGGGTACCCCTAAGCTGGCCTTTGCTAAAAAACGTCCTCAATCTGATTGAGGTACGTTCGCTGAGGTCGACCCCTTCCAACTCTCCCATCCACACTCGTCTGGTATACTTGTTTTGTCTATCTCCTTTCCAAAAACCGACTTCTGCACATGGGCCACGAAGTTTCAACCGCACTGTACGTGGGCACCTGCACGTGGTATTTTGTGGAAGAGCCACACTCAAGGGGCCAAAGAGCTGTATGTGGCTTGAGAGCCGCGGTTTGCCGACCACTGCTATATAATAAAAGGCTAATATGCAAATTGTCCAAACGGAGAAAAGACTGGCCACGATGACACACACTGACCACCCGGGGGCCGATGCTCAATGCAGGAGCTGCCCCCTGGTGGTCAGTGTGCTCCCACAGGGGGAGCACCGCTCAGCCAGAAGCCGGGCTCATGGCTGGCAGTGCAGCCGCGGTGGTTGGAACTTCTCCCGCCTCCACCTCCACGGCAGTGCTAAGGATGTCCAACTGACGGCTTAGGCCTGCTCCCTGGGCCTAAGCTGTCAGTAGGACATCCTCCAAGGGCTCCCGGACTGCAAGGGTGCAGGTCAGGCTGAGGGACCAACCCCCCCCACCCCAGTGCACGGATTTCGTGCACCGGGCCTCTAGTAGTAAATATTTTTGGCTTTGCCTGCTGTACAGTCTCTGTTGAACTGACTCAACTTTGCAGTTGGACATGTGTAAGCAAATGGGCATGGCTGTGTTACAATAAAACGTTACTTGCAAAAACATTCTGTGGGCTGGATTTGGCTACAGGTTCTAGTTCACTGGACATGGGTTCTAGTTTGCGGACCCCTGGTTGAAGCCATGGATTCAAGGGTCTAGGTTCAAATCCAGGCTGTGCCACTTCTCATCTGGGGGATCCTGGGAGAGTCACCTCTTTGTGCCTAGATATCCTTATCTGCAAAACAAAGATGACAGGCCACCACCATAGGGTGGTAACGTGGGCTTGCCCGGCCCATGTGGCTCAGTGGTCGAGCATCGGCCTATGGACCTGGAGATCATGGTTCAATTCCGGTCAGGGCACGTGCCCGGGTTGTGGGCTCGATCCCAGTGTGGGGCGTGCAGGAGGCAGCCGATCAATGATTCTCTCTCATTGTTGATGTTTCTATCTTTCTCTCCCTCTCCCTTCCTCTCTGGAATGAATAAAAAAATATCTAAAAATAAAAAATAAATAAACTGAGGCAATGTGCCCTAGCTGGTGTTGCTCAGTGAGTAGAGAACCGGCCTGCACACAGAAGGGTCGCAGGTTCAATTCCCGGTCAAGGGCAGGTACCTGGGTTGCAGGTGTGATCCTTGGCCCCAGACAGGGTGCTTGCGGGAGGCAACCGATCCATGTGTCTCACATCAATGTTTCTCTCTCTTTCTCTCCGCCCCTTCCCAGTCTCTCTAAAAATCAATGGAAAAAATATCCTTGGGTGAAGATGAACAAAAAATGAATAAAAATAAATTGAGGTAATGCAGGTAAAGGTGTTAGAAGGGTGCCTGGCACACAGGACATGCTGTCAGGGTTTGTTAAATAAATCTTAACTCGGGAGAATAAGGAGGTGTCACACTAAAAGAGGGACATTGGGCTTGCAGGCTGGGGCGTGTAAGGGGTTAATGCTATCTCTCCTCTCTGATCCCCAGGATCCAGCAATTCTGACTCTGTAACTATTGACTCGTGTGTCTAAAAGGACTTAAGGAGCATTTACCCCAGGGCCAGTGTTAAAGCTCTACAGGCATGAACTCACCTAGTCCCTATTACCACCCTAGATAGGGATCGTTATCAGCACCATCACTTTACAGATAAGGAAATTCAGGTCCAGAGAGGTTAAACAACTTGCCCCAGGTCACACAGCCAGGAACAGCAGGGCTGGGATTGGAAACCAGGCCACTGGCAGGGCCCTGGACCCTGACAGCTTTGCCACAGACCCTCAAAGAAGCGATGGGAATGGAGACATGAGAAAGGGGTTACCCCTGGGGACGGGCCTGCGGGCGACAGGCTAGGGACATGGGAGAAAAGCAGATTGTTCACCTTTTTTTTGCATCTTTTGGGCGTTTAACCACACAATATGTTACCTATTTGAGAGATACACACAATTACACTTTTAAAGTAGTTTGTGCAGCGTTAGGCGCGGCAGGAGTGGGTACAGATCCTGTCACTAACGGTGACACTGGGGGGTCAGGGTGGGATGGGAGATGTCGCCCTCCATTGACCGGCCCTTGTGACCTGGGTTTCCCGGGGAAGGTGCCAGGGGGACCAGGGGACCGGAACTCCCAAGGGAAGCGCTGGCAGGCGGGCCCTCACTCACAGCCACCACGATGTCCCGCATGTGAGGGAACTCCTCCGGGTGCAGGAAGGCTGTCAGCTCCTCCCGGGTGGCCATCGAGTCCCCATCCTGGTCCGCCACCCGGAAACGCCGCTCGTCGCGCGCCAGCATCTTCTTGTAGGTCTCTGCGTCCTCCACATCATGGAATTCCTCACCTGGGGAAGGAGGGAGTGGCTGAGATGTGCTTTCAAGGAGGTACCAGGTGCGCTGAAGAGAAAGACAAAGGGATCTAACTGGTGGGGGGGGGGGGGGGGGGGGGAGGCGGGGCGGG